AATGTAATAATATTAAATTAGAAGAAATGGTAGGAGGCTAATGAAAAAATAAATTAATATTTAAAATTTTTAGAAAAACAATCATCATTCGCAACTTTTTTTTAAGGTAATTCTAATTTATTTATGTAATTTAGGTATTTCTTTAATTGAAATTAATCAACCTGGAAAAGGAATTATATTAAGAGTATAAGCAAAGAAGATTAATTGTAACTTATATAGAGATCTATTGGATTATTTAGAGTAAGAACTTGGAAAAAATGCAAAAAATTAATTTATTTTAATTACAAAAAGTTAATATAATCAATAATTTGAACAGGTTATGCATTAAATGATGAAAATAAATATCAATTAGCAATTGAGTAATGTGAAAAGGTTTTGATAGAAGAACCTTAACATCTACATGCATTGTATAGAAAAAGTAATTTTTTTTAAAATAGGCTTTTGGTTATCATATTTGAATGAACATTAACAAGCGATTTAATGTATTGATAAAGCCTTAAATTATAATTCAAATTATTGTGTTGGTTATTTCAATAAGGGTAATTTATTAGTTTATGATTGTAAGGGTATTCACTAGGTTTTCTTGGAAAATATAACAAGGAAATAGTGTGCTATGATAAGGCAATCAAATTGGATCCTAATTTTGCATAGGCCTATAATAATAAGGGTTAATAATAAGTTTATTATTAGGTTATTAGAGATCATAAATTTGAAGATAAATGATCTTAAAAAATATAATGAGGCAATAGTTTGCTATGATAAGGCAATCCAACTGAATCCTAATTATGCATAGGCCTATAAAAATAAGGGTTAATAATTAGTTTATTTTAGGTGCTTTATTAGATCAATTGAAGAAGTATTAATAAGCTATAGAAAATTATAAGCAAGCACTTTTGTATTGCAAATAAGACCAAAAGAAGTTTAAACAATTAATTATAGAAGTAAGAAATAAGAAATGAATAATTATTAAATATCCTTAATAAAATATTTATCAGTATTATTTAGTTTCCATCTATTTTGACTTTAATTTTGGCACTATTTTTATTTTAATATTAGATTGGGATTCTTTTAAAAAGATAAATGATTTTAATTGTTTTAGTAATAAAAAAAAAGAAGTATATGACTTTTTTCTCTTTATTGTATCTTTTAAAAAATTTTGTTACTTTTTTTTTAACATTTATCAATTAAAATTTTACAATTCCTTGAAGATCTTTAAAAGATTTTTCAACATAAGACCCAGATGGAAACAAAGTTTGATTTATTTTTCAAAAAAAAATGAAAAATTCTTTTGGAGTGTAGCAACATTTTAAACATTAAAAATATTTAACCTAATGTTTCATCTGTTAATATAATTATGCTTGATGTTACTGTATTTAAAAATATAAAAACAATAAGTAAATAGCCCTTTCCTTCACAAAATTATAAAAGGAATTATGATTTCATTCATGTTTATTTTCCTAATATATTAGTAGTGTATTTTATTTTTGATTTATCCTATCATTAAACTATTATTTATTATTGTTGATTAAATACTTAATATATTTTTGATTAGTTAAATTTTTAATTATTTTAAATTTGAAAATCATGACAATATAATTCAATATTGAATCTGAAATATTAATTAATGGACTTAGATAATAATTATAATCTAAACTAATAAAATTAGATAATCAAATTATCTAATTTCATCCTACAACAAATTATTATTTGGCTGTTAATGAAGGATTTTTTAATGAAAATTTGCAATTCTTTGGTAATGATACTCTCTTAGGTTCAAAGGAGTTTGAAATTTAAAGAAAATTAAAAAAAAGCGAATCCCTTTTTTAAGATAATTTAAAATTTGATACTATTAATCCAAACCTAAATAAGATGATCAACAATTTTTAAGGTATTCAATTTTTATTAATATTGTTAAGAATGAACTTCCATTTAAAAATACCTTGAATTATTAAATAAATTATTTACACTCTATTGGGGAACATCATCCTTTTAACTAATTCTTAAATTTCTTTAATTAAATTGGCAATCATTCAATTAATATGATCTGAATTGCATTATATTAAGGTTGAAATTGAAAATTTTAATTATTCTTTGAAGTAAATTAACTAAATAGTTTTAAAGTATCATGATTTTATCTTCATTTCAACACTATTAAAATAATTTTTAATTCTATCTCAATTAATTGATTAAATTTTACATTATTACAGACAATATCATCTAATTAAGTCTAGTAAATTTGAAAATATTAACCTTCTTCTAAATTTTACATCTATTAAATTATCTATTCATTTATTCAAGTATAGATCCAGGTTTAAAGTCAAATTATTTCAGTATTTCTTCAATTATCCGATTGGGAGTTACAATTAGTAAATTAAGATCTTCTTAATTGAGCACCTATAAAATTCTGCCATTTAATAACAGGTGTATCCCATTAGAGTTACTACTCCATATTTTTTAAATAATTATATTTACATGTATTAACCTTAAAGATAAAACTCTAGGCTAAATCAATGAATTCTATAACCATATATTCAGTTATGAATCCATAAGTTATGGTGGTAAAATCATCTAAATAAACCAAAATATTTTGTCCAAAATAATTATTTATAAATCATATTTAATCTACTTCTTTTTTAAATTATTCAATCAATTAATGAAAAGCAAATATATCAATTAAGAAAGGGGTTAACATTTATAATTCAGATTAGAAGATTGAATCATCTTCTAAATTTGGTTATTCTAATTCAACAATGCAATTAAGAATATTACTCTGAATTGTTTCTCAATATTTTACTTAAGCATTTAAATCCAATTTTAATTTTCTTAAAATCATTTAATATTTTATTAAGATCTTATTCAAAAAAATTTCTTATTTCAAGTTATTTTACTCACTAATTTACATAATATTTCCTCTAGTATATATCCTTTATTGTTGTAATGATAAATTTTCAAAATATCACTTATAAATTGTTTATATTTAAAAAGATCTATTAGAATTAATTATTANTGATACTATTAATCCAAACCTAAATAAGATGATCAACAATTTTTAAGGTATTCAATTTTTATTAATATTGTTAAGAATGAACTTCCATTTAAAAATACCTTGAATTATTAAATAAATTATTTACACTCTATTGGGGAACATCATCCTTTTAACTAATTCTTAAATTTCTTTAATTAAATTGGCAATCATTCAATTAATATGATCTGAATTGCATTATATTAAGGTTGAAATTGAAAATTTTAATTATTCTTTGAAGTAAATTAACTAAATAGTTTTAAAGTATCATGATTTTATCTTCATTTCAACACTATTAAAATAATTTTTAATTCTATCTCAATTAATTGATTAAATTTTACATTATTACAGACAATATCATCTAATTAAGTCTAGTAAATTTGAAAATATTAACCTTCTTCTAAATTTTACATCTATTAAATTATCTATTCATTTATTCAAGTATAGATCCAGGTTTAAAGTCAAATTATTTCAGTATTTCTTCAATTATCCGATTGGGAGTTACAATTAGTAAATTAAGATCTTCTTAATTGAGCACCTATAAAATTCTGCCATTTAATAACAGGTGTATCCCATTAGAGTTACTACTCCATATTTTTTAAATAATTATATTTACATGTATTAACCTTAAAGATAAAACTCTAGGCTAAATCAATGAATTCTATAACCATATATTCAGTTATGAATCCATAAGTTATGGTGGTAAAATCATCTAAATAAACCAAAATATTTTGTCCAAAATAATTATTTATAAATCATATTTAATCTACTTCTTTTTTAAATTATTCAATCAATTAATGAAAAGCAAATATATCAATTAAGAAAGGGGTTAACATTTATAATTCAGATTAGAAGATTGAATCATCTTCTAAATTTGGTTATTCTAATTCAACAATGCAATTAAGAATATTACTCTGAATTGTTTCTCAATATTTTACTTAAGCATTTAAATCCAATTTTAATTTTCTTAAAATCATTTAATATTTTATTAAGATCTTATTCAAAAAAATTTCTTATTTCAAGTTATTTTACTCACTAATTTACATAATATTTCCTCTAGTATATATCCTTTATTGTTGTAATGATAAATTTTCAAAATATCACTTATAAATTGTTTATATTTAAAAAGATCTATTAGAATTAATTATTATTATAAATTTGATATTTAATAAAATTTATGTAATATATACAATATTAGAATTAGAATTTATACTTTTGAAATAGAATACAAAGGTTTCATAAAAAAATGGAAATGAAAAAAAAATTGTAATTAATCTAAAAGAATTTGGATTAAAGTCCAATTGCAAAATACTAAAACTCAATTTGAAGATCCTAAATATAATCGATTCTAAATGTAAAATCAAAAATATAGATTTTAGCAAATAACCAAGAATAAATAAAGTTTACAAAATTTATGTCTACTCAAATAGAATCTTAAAAAAGATAAGATAAAGTTAATAATATTTACAGGAGATCAAAGAAATATGTTCAGATGCATCAAATTATTAAACGCATGAGAATTCTAATGCATTAATATATCAAATAGTCACTAATGGCATTTTAATAATAACATTGGCGTCAATCCTTTTCGTTTTTTTATAATATATGAATTCCCTTGCAAAAGTCATTAATATTGGTTTATAACTTAAATTAATAAAAGATTCTTTAATCTTCTCATTCTTTTTGATAGGATAGAAGCATCAATAAGAGAATCTAATTCTTTATATTTTTGAAAACTATTCATAAATTCAATAAAATTTTAAGGCTTTCCTTAACTTTGTTTAATTATCAAATTCAATTTATTTTTAAATGGATTGAAATTATCAAAAAAAGATAGTCAAATCATTAATAGGAATGATGCCATAATCGCATTAATCTTGATTTTGCTTAGCAATTTCTTAGTATATTTTTTTATATTAATCAAATCCACTTGCAGTTCCCATTTCATTCAATCAATAAGCAATTATAATACTATAATTCTATAATTCAATTTTGCTTTTTCTATTAACATTTTCAAGATAAACTAAATGATTATTATTGAAAGAGCTCTCTCCAAATAATAATTTGCATCGTGATGTTTTGTTCTTTATTGATCAATTTATTAATATTTTTTAATCATTAAATGACATCCAGCCAATTTAATATTTAAATACCCAAATTGCTACATGCTTCAAGTTTTTGGGTTGAAATACACATAACTTTTTGAAATAAATCAATTGCCTTTTGTATGTGATTCAATTCAGATAGTGGAATGCCTAAATTTTTTAACTAAAATCCTTATAGACTAAAAGCATGAATTTGAATGCAAAAATTACATAAACGATTTATTAATTATTCTTAGATGTGATTATGCTTAAAGAATATAGTAGAAATTGTCTTTAATCAGACGATGGCAAAGTATGTAATTTTATATAGAGAAGCTTAGATTGCAAAAGATTAATTAGATGAATCTTGCAATAAATTTATCAATTAATCATAAGGTTTGAGGAGTGTACCCAAGTTATGTTATTAAATTCTCTTGGCTAATATGTTCATAATAGTGTTTGAAGTATTTGATTTTATTGGAGTGAAACCTCCTATTCTTAGAATGATATTAACTTAACTATTTTATAGTTAGTTTAGCTGGTTTAGATTTTAAAATTACGTCTTCTAGTTAATTCTCTTAGTAAATTTAACTAAAGAATTTGGTCAAAGAAAATTTTTTATAATCATTATTATTGTTATTATTTTGATCGGAATTGCGAAATCTCAATATATAAACTAATTCAAAGCATAATTACAATTAACTTTATTTAGTTATACATATTTTATTGTCAAATTTTATAATAAAGCATACACCACATGCACCTTATGCCATACAGGATTTTTTACTCTCAGAAATAGCTTCCAAGAAAGATAAAGTTAATAAAATTCTTAATATCCCTTATTTTATTCTTTAGAAATTAATTGTATTACTTACATAATATTACAATCAGATTGAAGATGCATAAATAAAATGTGATTCTCAATTAGTTGTTTAAGACACTTAGAAATTTTTCATAAATTGAGTTCTAAATGCAATTGAAAAAATATGTTATTTGGATACTTAAAAAAAAGGATATGTTATTTTGGAAATATTTTATTTGAAATTTTTTAATATTAAATAAAATTAGGAAATATATTCATAAACTACTATCACTATTATTACGACAAATATGGGAAAAATATCATAAACCATATATTGTAAATCGAAGAAGTTTTTAGATTGGGTTAATTTGATAACTATTTTTTATTCTTATTAAAAAATAAACATATAGATAAATAAGAAATATGATAATTTAAAATGAGCCAAAATAATAAATTAGATTTTAAAAATCTATATTTGATTTAATAGTAAACTTATTATTTGGTTGCTTATGTACTAAAACAATAAAACAGATTTTAATTATCTAAGTATAAAATAATTCATTAATTTTCAAACTTGATCATTTTCAATACAAAATAAAAGTTCCCTAAAGTTTTATTACAATTTAGAAACAAAAAACATTCTCTTAATTAATATCCAACTATTTTCTTCTGATTACATCTTCCAAAGACTTAAAAATAATCAAATTTGGATGTATGATACAATTAAATAAATATGATCCTTTTTACATTTCATCATATTAGAGTGAAAAAACGTTTCTGAATTTCAATATATATAATGTATTTCGATTCTGGATAGGAAGAAGATAAATTAGAGATTTTTAGATTAAATTCAAGATATTAATGAATTCATTCTCTGTGACAATTGAAATGTTTAATCTATTAAATTTGAATTTATAATTTTACCTTTAAACTAACTTGAATCCTTCATAACTCATAAACTGGAATTTATTAGTTCGATTTTTCAATTCATTCAATAATGGTCCTAAATATTCAATAGAATTTTGATCATTTTAAATTAAATTTATGTTAATGTTTTACAATAAAATAATTGTAAATCGAAATAAGGTACATACTTTCTAAGCCGTTTATAAATTGTAAAGATAAAATTTATTTATTGAAAATACATTAAGAACAAGTCTTCTCATGGTTTTTTTGAAGAAATTTGAAAGAAGATTAAATCATCAAATTATATTAAGGAAAAGATTGAAATATTTCAAAGTTAATAAAATGGTATAATAATCTCTCTTTTTTTCAATGTCTAAATATCACATTATTGTATTTTTTAATTATAATGTGTACTTATTTCAAAATAATTTATGCCTAAGAAAGTAGTTAAACCAGGATACTATTTCAACAATAAATATATTAATATTAGGTATATATATTTTTGTTTTAATGATATCATATTTAAATAAAGGCAGCCATATGAGTAAAAGATTTCTTTATTATTTAATTCAAGAATTATACTCACTCTATTTTTAAAAACAGATCTTAATAAAGAGTGGAATATTTGTAAATTAATGTTAAAAATCTAGAAATATTAACTCGAATTCAACTATGTAAGCTATAATGATATGTTTTTATTAGAATCAATAAATTCATATAAATAAATTTCATATATAAAGGATTTTTCGAATTGTTATTTAAAGTCTCATCAAGTAGTCTAGAGGGAAGACGCTGCCCTGAAGCGGCAGAGATCCGAGTTCAAGTCTTCGGGTTGGTGAATTTTTTATTAAATTTATTTTATTGTTTATTAATAATTTGTCAATAATTTTCTATGTGAAAATATATTTAACTAGTCATTTTAATTGTGCTTAAATACAATGTGATATTAATACACTCTTTTTTTTATATAAAGTTTTAATATCAAAAATCATAGATAGAAGCGCTTACGATTTTTGTAAACAATATTCATCTGTGATTAAAGGTAGTATATAGTATATATATTGTTTGGAAAATCTATAATTAGCTAAAAGCTTATGAATAGATACCGAAACTTGGAAAATTTTTCATAGGGGATAACAAAAATAACAAATAAGGACAGATGATAAAAAATAGTCTTTTGATTAAAAGAAAAAAAGTTCAATATTTTTACATAATAATAATTTCTTTTTTTGAAATTATCTCCTTTAAGATAAAAGACTACTATCAAAACTTTTAGACGAAATCAATGGCGAGATGCCTACCATATATAAAATAATCAAAACTACAAAAATATCATAGCTGGTAAATAATGTATTTCTACTTGTATTGCTAAAGTTTAATTTAATAGTTACTAAGCCTTTATAGCATACCTAAGGAGAAGGCATTGGTAAAAAATCAACCATTTGTAAATTCATTCCAAAAGAAAATAACTTTTAAATCTGTACTTGTAAAACATTCACTTAATATGCAGATGAAGAAAAAGATTAATATACATGTAAGACTAATCCTTCTTTTTATTGGACTATAAATTAATGTATTGATTACCTTGTGAAGCCTTTTCATCTGGTTTAAATTGTAACACAATACCATGTTTAGATGGTATATTTCAAACTAATTTCTATTTATAATACTAAATATAAAAAAAGCTATTCAAAAACTGCGAGTGTTAGATATTAGTGATTTTACTATGCGAGTTATTATGAAATATTTGGATCAAAGAAATTTCAGTAACTTAATAGAAAAAAAATCATAAGATTAGAAACGAATTATTATGTGGAAAAATCTCCTTTTTCTTCAAATTATAGATATTCAAACCTATTATTTGAATTTTGGAGTTCTGCTAGATTTGTTTTTTCTTTTAACTGTTAAGATATTCATGACTTTGATTCGCTAAATTAACAAGGTTATAAGTTTCTGAAGATTCAAAACTATGATAATTATTTTTATTGCTGTGCTAATTACTCGTTCACTTAAGTTAAGTAAGTTATCCAGATAATCTCTTTTGGATTTCTTCTATAAAACCCTTATCATTAATTTTCACTTATTAAGAAAATTATTTATGTTATTTACTAATTGATGATTTAGAAATATTCTTATACTTTTCATACAATTAACACTAAAAAATTAATTTTCTTTTAGTTGAATTCTTTAAATATTAATGAATAATATAATAAAATGAAGATAACAAAAAATATATGTATCTTTAATATATTTTAGAGAAAGAACAAGAATTAAAATAAAAACTTAATTTATACGGATTGATGATCACTCCAAATTTAATAACTCATTTCTCATGATATTATCTGATCTAAATTTCTTTTGATTTATCATCCCAAGTAATCAAATACTGTCCATCATCAGTCATATATCCAAAAATATGAGATGTTCCAAACTCAATAGATTCCTAATTCATAACTTCTCCGTTTTGTTTCATACTTATTAAACTTACATTTAAACCATTCTTATTTACAAGCATACATTTTGATTCTATATATTATGAAGCAAACAAACAATGATCGGTTCCACCTTTTACAGGAATCTCTTTGGTCTTGGTATACTAATTATTAATATTATTCATCTCAAAAACAATTATGTACTATCTACTATCAGGATAGAATGTGAATGTATAGTTATCAATAAAGCATAATCTAAATCCACATTGTTCTACTTTAATCTTTTATTTTACTACCCATTTGTTAAAAAAATCTATATGGTCAATTACTAATATAAAATTATCACTTCCACAGGATATCAATCTATTTAATTATTCATTTAAAGTTAATCCTAATACAGCATTTTTATGATCTCTAATAGTCTAAGTGCATAACCATGTATTTTACTTCTACCAGAATTTAATCTTATTATCCCAACCACCAGAAATAATAATATTTTCATCATTATTTAATTATAAACAGTAGATACCATTTGTATGTCCATTCAAATACTATTGGCAAATCCATAAATTATTTTGATCTCTTGCCCATATTATGATTGATTTATCTTGACTACCAGATATAAAATGATCCGATCTCTTCATGAAATTTAAAGTATAGACATCTCTCCCATGTTCATTTAATATTTAAACTTATTTTAAGATTCCTTATATAACTTCAAATACTTTAATTTAACTTTCACATCCAGCAATTAATATTGAACAATCTTTATTAACAGCAATTGCATTACACCATTGATCTTATTTAATTGAGTTTTCTTTAACTAATTAATAAGTGAATGGTTTAACATTTGATTGAGTAGTTTAAAGTGTTGATGATTATTAAATAGTTTAAGTATTAATTTAACAATCATTTTATTTGATTTAATTTTTCTATGTTGTGTGAGTTTCTTTGGTTAATTCTTGATATTATTGTTCTTACTTTTAAACTTGATTGTGAGTATTAATTAACATCAAAGAAGTCACTTCTTAACAGATTTATTTTGGGAAATTGTCATCTTAAAATTTAAATAATATATTGGAATTGATTTTCGGTAATTGTGATTATTATTATTAAGATGCTATTATATTAATCGAGTTAAACTCATTATTAAGAAGTTCATCAAGTTTGGTATCAATATTATTAAATGAGTTCTATTTACATATATTAAATAATATACACCTCTATTGCTTATTACATATTTTCTATGCATTCATTCACTTTTATTTGGTATTCTTTTCTTATCATTGATTCAGAGACAGTTTACATTTCGACTTTTTAAGATATTTTATTTAATAATTTCTATATCTATTTAAAGATGCTTATAAGACAACTTTTTTATGTATTTATCAATAAATTAAGTAGTTTAAATTATGATTCAAAATTTGAAAATAAAAAACTTGAAGAGATGAACTCTAGTATATTTAGAAGGATTTCTAAGCAAACAGGCTAAACACGAATCGATTTTGCAACAAAAAATTTTTCAAGTAGCTGATTTTTTCAGAAAATTTTAAGAATGAAAACTCCTTCTATTACATAACTATCAGTACTTCTATAGATATTATAAAATTAAACAACGATAAAATTATATTTGGCAAAAGAACTATCAAACAGATTTGACTGCTCTAATTGATTTATTTTATTAGGGTCCATATTTCGAAGACTATCTTATAATTACTATTTATATCAATAGATTTTTTACTAAATTCTAATATATTGATAAAATTAATTGATCAACGTTCTTTAATAACTAACTTTAACAGAAAAATACAAAATATCACATCAAATTTAAATTATTTATTTTTAATATTAAAAGTTAAATTAATATATGTCTCAACTTTTAATAATAAATAGAATTTTATTTTTTGATAATTTTTTTTTAGATAACGTTTAATCATGCAAGAGATATGTAGAACTTTAGCAATTCGGATCCTTATAAAATTAACATATTATTTTAATAGAAAATTAATCTTTTTGAAATAAGAAATATACTAACTTCAATTTTATTAGTTTCAATTTGAATTTTGGTAAATTACAACATATTATCACAAATCTATTCTATTAATGACATTTAAATCTAGAGGTTTAATCATTTTAGTTCATTTTCTACTTGTGAATTAGCATTAAATAGTAATTATTTTATGATGTTCAATTGTTTTAATTTTATTTTATTGATATCTAATTAATTGTTATTAAGTTTGTCATTTCAAAAATGAAGCTAAAGGAGTACTCAATTAGGTTATTATATTAATTGTCTTAATATTAAAATGCTAATTTTATTTATAATGAACTCCAGATAGTAGAATTTACTTATATCCTTAAAGAAACTTTTTATACCTAATGATATATCAACTGAGTTAACTCTCAACAATGCTATGCCTATAATTGAAAATTAAAGAATTACAAAATAACTCATTTTTTTATTTGCTTGGTTAATTTATTTTTAATCTATTATAAAAAAACATAAATGCCTCTATTTAATTAATTAAAAGATTTTTGTCAATATTAAAAATAAACTCAATCTATAAACACAATTAATTGAGATTTTTTTTTTATTTATTTTAGTTATTGTCCTTCTTTAC